TCACACAAAGATGCTCTATAGGTTGGTGGTCCCCAGATACCTAACCCCTCTGAGGCATGGTGCCATTTTACAGAGGGAGAAACTGAGGCTCAGAAAAGTTCACTTGCCCAAGGTCACACCACAGGTGAGTAGTGGAGCCAGGCAAGTACATTTTAGGTGGGGCTTGAGCCCTGGGCTCCTGGAGTCAGATAGACTCCACTCCTTCCAGAACGTGGGTGTGGACTCCACTTCTTACAGGGTGTGGACACTGTGACAATGTGGCTCCATAAAGTGGCCACCTCCGTAGATGTCGGACAGAGGCTCTCTTCACAGGCTGGCTATGCGCAACCTCACCTTACAGTTCGGGCACACAGATAATTCCTTACATGATGTGTTAGTTACAGTCCTTCTGATTTCTAGTAACAGCAGCCAAAAGAGCAAAAGAGAAAAACTTTATTAGAAAGATCCTGAGAGACCTGAAGGAAATAAAAAATCCCAAAAGAACAGAATCCAAGATTGTCCAAGACAGCTCTGAGAATCTCAGAGTTGGAAATGGATTGCCTTTCATCCAGAACCCGGCATGAGCTGGACTTGGCTTTCAGTCTCTGTGTTACATTTCCAGGTTCCTAAGAGAAAGAGCGAGCGTGTTGGGCAACCTGGGTCAAGTGTCTCCTTCGGTGAATCATTTCCTGAAGCCAGGTCCCCTGTGACAGCATGATTACCTGCAGCCTAACACTGTGATCATGGGCAGTCACCGTGGGGGAATGTGTATATTAGACGCAGTGAGCGGGGCTGCTGCCCAGCCTCCAGGCTTCAGAAGGCCCTGCATATTATGAATGCACACACGCACACACACACACACATACCCCCCCCCCAACACACACTTCTTTATTTTATTTTATTTATTTTTTGAGATGGAGTTTCACTCTTGTCGCCCAGGCTGGAGTGCAATGGCATGATCTCAGCTCACTGCAACCTCTGCCTCCTGGGTTCAAGAGATTTTCCTGCCTCAGCCTCCCGAGTAGCTGGGATTATAGGCATGCGCCACCACACCTGGCTAATTTTGTGTTTTTAGTAGAGATGGGGTTTCTCCATGTTGGTCAGGCTGGTCTGGAACTCCCAACCTCAGGTGATCCACCCGCCTCGGCCTCCCAAAGTGCTGGGAGCCACCATGCCCAGCTGCACATACTTTTCAAAAACACACAGGATCCAGGCCTCGGTGCTGACAGACAACGAGGTTAAACATCAATCCTCATGACTGGCACTGCTCAGGCCCCAGGGAAATCCATTTCTATATCTCTTGCTTAATGTCCTCAACACAAAAGTCATCTGAATGCTGGAAAATTTGTGAGTTACACCTCTGCAGATGTCAGATAGACACCGCTTCCAAATGGAAGGAGAATTTGCATGGTGGAAGCTCTTCCCTAAGAGAAAATACAAACTATTTCACTTGTTAAATCCTCTCAGCATGAATGCAATAGATTTTTAATGACTTATGTTTAGTAACAAAATATTGTTTCCTAGGAATGTTGAGCATCAATTTTCCTTCTCTTCCTGTTCCAATTCATGATTCTGAAGGCACCTGATAATTAGCATATCTTTCACAACAGTGGAGTTGATATTTGGCATAATCAGTTGAGAAATACATTGCAATATTAAACAGTTCGTTTTGCTCTTCAGTGAGTATACATGTAGGTCTACATTAGAAGTAATATGATGAAGTGTAGTATCGGTGATTTCTGTCAGTGACTAGATGCACGCAGGATGCCAGAATTGTGGATAATCTTTGTTTTGTAAAATCACTTAATATGATTTTCTTAAATTTTCAAAACATTGAATTAAAGACTTCAGCTTTACTTAAATAATTTTAAGACTTTGATACCCATTAATTATAATTGTATTTTCTCTTTCAATTGTCAGAGAGAATTGTGAATATTTTAAGGGAAATGCTTTTTTGGAAACATAAATTTTTAAATGTTTTTGGTTCTATTTCCCATAATTTAGGATTTTTTATAAAAAATACATTCAAATTTTGTACACTTTAAGTGCAGTCACCTTTTATTTTTCATTATATAGGCTGGCATTGGCAAACTTTTTCTTAGTGGGCTAGATAATAAATACGGCAGGCAGACAATAAGGTCCCTACTACAAACACTCAGCTCTGTCATCACAGCATAAAAGCAGCCACAATGAAGCATAAGTCATTGTGCGCCTATGTTCCAATAAGACTTCATTTACAAAACTATTTGTTTGTATATTGCTTCATATGTAAAAATTGTTTTGATATTGAGATTAATAAAAATGCTTGTTAATCAACTATGAACAAAGATAGAATGCCAAATCTGGCTAGGCACAGTGGCTCACGCCTCTAATCTCAGCAGTTTGGGAGGCCAAAGCAGTCAGACCACCTGAGGTCAGGAGATCGAGGCCATCCTGGCTAACATGGTGAAACCCTGCCTCTGCTAAAAATACAAAAATTAGCTGGGTGTGGTGGTGTGCACCTGTAATCCCAGCTACTTGGGAGGCTGTGAGCTGAGATCGTGCCACTGCACTCCAGCCTGGCGACAGAGCAAGATTCTGTCTCCAAAAAAAAAAAAAAAAAAAAAGAAAGAAAGAAAAAGAATGCCAAATGCCAAATCTGGCTATAGTGTTCACTGAATATTAATATTCAAAGATCAGTTTTGATGAAGTCTTTGGCAAACTTGCAGAAGTTAAATCTCAAAATAAAAATCTGTGATGTTCTTGATTACTGTCACCGACTGATGCTTTTTAAAAAGATTCTTCCCCTTTTCAAAAAAATTTTGATTCAAAATTATGAATACATGATCTCTCTTTTGTACAACATATTAATTTTATTTTTTATTTAAGAAAATGTTTAACCAACATGATATATATATATATATATATATATATATATATTACATATATAAAGTTGAATGAAAGAAAAATTTCACTGTCTGTACCTCTTTTCTTGCCATTATTATTGACTTCATTTCATGATGACTTTCTGAGACTCCTGTATGTACTGGAAGGGATGTGAAAACATGAGCCACTCTGGGCCATGATGTGCTGCAGTGAGCTTGCTGTGGCTCATGAGAACTGATGGTGAAGTCTCTTCCCAGTTCTGTGTCCGTAGCTTGAAATCAGCCACAATGGGAGTATTTACACCATGGAGATCTACAAATACCACAAATGAGTGCTGGGGCCTCCAGAGAGCTGGCTGTTAAATATTTGCCAGTCCCCCTCTGACTCTGGTTCTCAATATGCCGGGTACAGACCTGCGTGGGCCCAGTCCTGTGTGGATACCTCTTATGTAGCAATGGAATGCTGCATACTCAGTCTTACTATTTGGCAGAGCTGACAACACCCAGCGAATAAGGAGAGGTGCAAGGCGCATGGCTATCTGTCATCTTTTGGTCAGGTATGCAGTTTCTCTCCTTGGGCCCAGTATTCTGCAGGGAGCTAATTTACAAAAGGAGGCTAGGTGCTGCTGAACAGATCAGAGCTTTGCTCTGCAAACTTAGGGTTTGCAATCTTAGGGTTTGCTTTGCTCTGCAATCTTCAGTTATGATTCTCTCTCAGTGCTTTCAATACCCTGACCTACTAAAGAAACAGCACCATTGGATCTACTGGGTTATAAGGCCCACGGGACAGAGCTGCTTATAGCCTGGGCCAGCTTAAGAGATTTCTCTTGCTGTGCGCCCCACCCAGGCTGAGGAGCTGATGGATTACTCATAAATGAGATGGACGAACACAACGCAATAAAACAGTGTGTGCGCCTTACAAAGTGTAAAGGGCTCACAAAGCCTCATGTCTTCTCTTTGTGCAAGGGGATAAATTGAAACAACTTCTTCACTTTGTAGCAAATATCCCAATATGTTCCAGACCACTAGAATCCCAGAAACTTCGGTGAGGTGGCCTTGTATTTGTATGGAGTTTATCACCTACCTTACATCACATGTATGCCTTATAAAGGCATGTAAGTACATGTTCTTTCTACTTCCCCTGGTCTCCTAGCTTGATGTCTGCAATGCTGGAGTCTAGCATTACATCACGGGAGATGGTGAGACAAGTATAGTGAATTGTGCCACAAAGCCAGAAGCCTAATGTAATCAGAGAGCAGATCGTGAAGACGTACTGCTATCCTTTCCAGGTGAAATCAAACTACTGAATTCCTGATGCTTTGATGTTCACAGGGATTTTCTTTAAATGACCAACTGTGATGCCATGGACTGTGTAAATTTGTAAAGATTCCTCATCTTAAAATAACAGCTGCAATTGAGGTTACCACTTGAATGAGTTTACAATAATCTGTGGCTACTCTCCATCTGTGACAGATCCATCTGTCTTCCGTATCAACGAAACAGGCAAGTTCTATGAGAATAAGATAAGAATCACTACCCTTGCACTTTTTTCAAATATTTTATGCTGGCATTAATATCTGAAATTCCCCCAAGGATATGGAATTATATGGACTAAGAACTTGGATAGTGAGGTAGAATTCCAGAGGCTTCCATTTGGCCCATCTCAGTAATATACTAAGCATATGATAGCCACTATTCCACAAATCAAGGAGTCAGTGTAGAGATTCTGTCCATTTCTAAGCATTTCCAACTAGTCATGCGAAAATGGAAGGTAAACATGGGATGGGCTTGGGTTCTCATTGCCTTCATTGAGGTAAATTGAGTCAAAACTCCAAGTATCCCCCTGGCCTCAAAATCCTCTGACTGGTAGACCACAGTGATGTTTTCTTTTCTTTTGAGATGGATTTTTGCTTTTGTTGCCCAGGCTGGAGTGCAATGGCACGATCTCAGCTCACCGAAACCTCTACCTCCCAGGTTCAAGCAATTCCCTTGCCTCAGCCTCCCAAGTAGATGGGATTACAGGCATGCAACACCAAGCCTGGCTAATTTTTTATTTTTAGTAGAGACAGGGTTTCTCCATGTTGGTCAGGCTGGTCTTGAACTCCTGACCTCCAGGTGATCGGGAAGCCTCAGCCTCCCAAAGTGCTGGGATTATAGGCATGAGCCACTGCACCCGGCCACAGTGATGTTTTAAATTTCCGGGAATGAGTCTTAGCTCAGAACCAACGTTCAACAGTTCTTTCTCCAATGCAGAATTACAGACAAATGGCATAGACCTGGAGAAAGATTCATGTTATTACAAGGTCTTGCCTTAAGGCCAATAAATTTATTCCCATGGGGATTGAATCTGTGACTTGAATCAAGCCTATCTAGGGATTGGTTGAGAAGCCACGACTTTCTATCATGGTAATTTCAGTCAAATCCAAGAGAACCTTAGTAGACTACCTATCTCCTTCAGTCTTCAGGTTCCTAAAACCGAAGAGCCGTGACCAAGATAACAGTCAGACCGTATCACTCCAGCCCAACTCTCTGTGATGGTCCCATCCGGTGCTCTCTGCTGCCATCTCTGGTGGTCACCTGCCACTGCTTGTCTCTGCCCCTCTTGGATCTTCCATCTTGAAATCAGGAGCCTGTTTCCACCACAGTGTCTCTGACTTGTACTCCGGCCTTCGGAGAAAGGCCATTATTCCACTTCCCGATGGGGCCAGCACTCTCCTCACCAATGTAGTTCTGGTGAAAGTTGTATCCTCTTGGGGAACAAAATTAGAGAGTGGTTCATGCACAATAACTCCGCTTCATCACTATCATTTTGTAAATAATTTCTGGTGTTTCAATGTAGGCGGTGCCTGAGTCTGGGTGTCCACTGGCCGGCAGAGAGAAAGACAAGAACGGCTCCCACCTGCCCAAGGCGGCACCGTGAGCCCGCCTCTCTGAACCCACCCCGATACAGTCAATTTCACTCGCTCGCAAGCCAGTTGGTTTGGGAGATGCTTAGAAAGAGAACTGACAACATTGCTGATGGATGTGGAGTGTGAGGAGGAGGAGGAAGAGATTCCCAAGGTGATTCTCAGGTTTTGTCTGGTGACACTAGGTAGATGGCATGCCATCGAGTGACAAGGTAGTTTTCACACTGAGTAGATGGCATGTTGCCTAGTGACAAGGGCAAAGCTACAGGAGCAGCAGGGGGAGGTAAATGCTGCCCGTATGCCCACTTTGCAGAAGCGGAAACTAATGATTAAAGGATTTAAGTGATGCACCTTGTATCACACAGCTCATAAGTGACAGAGTGGGGTTGAAGTCCATGTGTGCCTGGTTCCTACGCCCAGGCTCCTGCCGCCTTACCCCTTCCGGCTCTCCTGCTTCCCCACTCTGCCTCCTCCCCAGCCCCGCCCTGCCCCAGGTGCAGTCACTGTGTCTCCATGGTACATCCTGAGGCTTCCATGCTAAGCCCTTGCGTACCTCCTTGTAGCGAATTCTCTCAATGCCCCTGTGTGATGGGTTCTGTTGGCCCTGGTATTACAGATGAGGCCGCTGAAGTTCAGGCACGCTAGCTGACTGCTTACACCTAGCCAAGGACTGATGACAGCACTGACCCTTTATCTCGCAGGGTGGTGAAGAGGATCAAAAGAGAAAGTGTTAGTGAAAGTTCTTTGAAAAGTTAGCTGGGAGTCATTCAAAGTGGCCTGTCTGTGGTTCGTCCTGTTGGAGTGTCCTGCCTGCTGACTCAGCAAACCTTGCTGAACGCCGCATCCCGGGGGACCTTTCCTGGTGCTTGGGAATTGGTGACTGAGTCCACAGGTGAACTCGAGAAATCACTCAATGCCCCACAGTGAAGAGAGGGGCCAAACACCGAGGTCAGGCTCCTCCTGCCAGAAATAGAGCTGTGGCCTGCTGTCATCATCCGCCTCTGCTCAGCCCTGTCTCCCAGGACAGCACCTGGCAACGGGGCAGGAAGCAGGATTGAGGGTGTGGGAGGAAAGGTTTTGCGGTGAGCACTTGCTCCTCCTTTCCCTGGGAAGAAGGGGCCACTTCCCCGCCTGCCCTGCCCCCCCGCCACAGCATTGAACCAGGTCAAATGATGCAGGTTGCCAAGGGCGTCACTGGCATTTTGCTCTCCACTTGGAGGCCACTGCTGGCTGCTCATCAGCATGGAGCAGAGTCAGGGGCCCCCTGTGAGAGCTGGCCAGGGCCCCTGCATGTCAGGAGCTCATAGGCATAGCCACAGCGCCTTCTTCCACTCTGGAGTTTTCTGAAGCCGGAAGATGCATGGGTGTAATCTCAGCAGCTGAGCAGAAAACCTCCCACAGGCTGAGAGCTGAGGGGAGCATGGGAAGTCCCCGAATTGTCCCAGACTCATACAGCTCTGGCCAGGCATGGAGGAAGATCTTAAGGGTGCCACAGTTCCACCTGGGTGGCCCACAGCTCTGGCCACTCTGATGCTGGCAGGAGTGCTGAGGGCTGCCGGGGTGAGCAGGCATCCCACCCAGAGAGGGCCAGGATGGAGGCCAGGAATGGGGACCACAGATGTGGCAGAAGGGGACATGACTATCCCTTTGGGGGAGGATGTCAGTGAGAGAGGGTCCTGAGGTGAAGAGGAACACCTGTCCGTGGTGATGAAGGGACCACGTGGGCTTACACCAGCCACAGACTGCAGGGGGAGGCCTCCAATCACCAGCATGGACCCAGGTCCTGGGACACAGCATTTTCTCTCCTGCCCCATCTGTATGTAGCCATGTCCAGAAGGCAGGGTGGAGCGGAAGGGACCATATGTCTCAGAAGAGACCACACCCTCCCATCTTACTTCAGGTCCTCCCCACTCTGGGGTGAAATCTGAGTGGGGAGTGAAGGAAGAGATACTGCATTTGAGATGGAAGGTTTCAACCAGCCAGATGTCTTCGAATAACCAAAAGCTATTTGATCCACTTGCCATGTTGTTAAGGAGTCAACAGAATGTTAAGGATTCAACATTCAAGTAAGTTGCCCTGAACACAACGATGGCTTCAGAGTGCAGCCCCTGGAGATGGACCCTCCTAGCAGAAACGCCACCTCGGCTCATCAGAAATGCAGACTGCCCAGGTGGACACGGCTTCCCACGGCCCTGGACAGAAGGGGAAACTACGGGGTGTGAGTGCTGGGATCCCAGCTCCCCCTCGAGCATCCACTGTGACCCTGAGTCTTGCTGCCAGTGCCAAGAGGAGAGAAGGAGATACTGACTCGCTGACTCATAGCTCGATGACAGCACTCCCACTCTCGGTGACAGCAACCAGATGGCAAAGCCCTGTCCTGAGACCACCCAGTCCTCACAGCACAAACTTGCCTGTCCGTCAGAAGCAAGCAAATTCGCCCTCGGAAACTGCTATTTTCAGCCTGGCAGCTTGCTAGTTGAGGCAAGGTTCTTGTCTTCTTTATGGGTTATGAGTCAAGCAGAGATAGATTTGAAAAACAAAACAAAACACCTTACCTAGAAAGCACAGGGATAAGTCAAGATTGGTAGGTTGGGAATACTCGGCACACTTCCCTTTGGCACATGCCCAGGCTGCAAGGCCAAATGCCCCAGATGGCCCCAGCAGTCGGCAACAGGGCTGTGACCACAGCCACCTGTAGTGAATGCTGGAGCGTGTAAACGAGGCCTCAGTGATGACGCACAGTGACGCTGGGCTGTAAGGAAAGTAAGACCTTGTCCTCACCAGCTTCTACCCTTCCTGTCTTTAAGCTTGGTCTGGTGTGGGGGCTCAGGAGCTGCACAGGCAGGGCCCCAGGGCTGCAGGCTTTTTGTCAGCTCTGCCCCACGCTGGCACCCAGCCTTCCGCCCTCTGCAGGGCCCACACAAGGAAGGAAGAGCTCAAGGGCAGCCTGGGACAGGCCCAGGCTCAGAGCAGGTATGGAACAGGAGAGGACGGGAGGTCAGAGAGCATCTGGAGCTGTCTCGGAGGATGTTGTGCAAAGGACAGTTGAATCCCAAAGAATTAGAAAATTTGGGGCAACTGAGGAAGTAGATGGGGCATTGCAGGCCGGTGGTGGGGAGGTGTTGGGGGGTTGCCAGGACAGAGAGGGAGAGTCGATGATTTATTTAACAAAACCTTCTGGAGGTATCCAGTGTGAAGGCCTTGTGCTACAACAGAGAATCAGACCACAAAGCGTCCACAGCACTGAGCCCTCTGGAGCTTTCAGTCCAGGCAGGCACAGGGGAGGGGACAACCAGCCCACGAGAGAGTCCTCACCAAGGGCGTGTGCAGCTGAGAAGAGCAGCGGCCAACTGGAAAATCCAAAGAGGAGGGGAGTTCTGGAGGAGGCCTCACCCACACTTCTGGCCTGCCCTGAGGGGTTCTGGAGGAGGCCCCGCCCACACTTCTGGCCTGCTCTTGCCCTCTCCATCCCCACCACTCCTGATTTCCTCCTGCTCCATGACTTTCTTCCTCAGTGCCTTGGCAGATGTCGTCCATCCCCTGGACCTCAATGCTCTCCCCTCTGTCTGCCTGACAAACTTCTGCCTTTCTTCAGCCTCCCTGGAAAGTGTTACCTTCCCTCTGCCCTTCTGCATGGAGGGCCCCTCCTCCAATTCTTCTAGGACCCCGAACTAGCTGCAATAAGAATATTAGCAATAATAGTAATGGCAGTGATCAATAACAGCAGGGAGAAATGGCCAAGTTTACCATTGCCAGTCACCTCTTTAGGTGCTTCACATCTGTGAACTCAGGTCCTCCTCACAACTCCAGAAGGCGACATGATCATCTTCATCTTACAGGTGAAGACACTGAAGCCCAGAGAGGTTAAGTAAGTTGCCTAAGGTCACACAGCAACTTCCTCTATGACACAAAACTGCCTTGCCATTATTTATAATTGTGAATCTGCTCAGGGGGGTGTTTTTCCAGGTGCGGGCTGGCCCTTCCCACCTGGCTATGCATTGCTTTTCTGGGCCAGAGTCCAGGGGGTGTTTGTCCAGCAAAGAGCAACTAAAATCACTGCCCATGAAAACAAGCAGTCATCCCAGAACCTCTTGGTCAGCTGCCACACCTGCCAGTCGCATGACATCACCTCTTATGTCCCTGGCGGCTACCCTCCCTTCCTAGAGAGAAGGGGAGGCTGGCATAGCCACCAGCAGCAAGAAAACAAACAGCGCCAGCCTCACCACCTCCCACGTTTCTCGGAACTGGGTGCCCTTCTGCCCATCAGGCGT